ACCCATACTAAAATCTGGCTGGGACAGAAAGCTAACAGACCTGCCCATACAACAAGCACCTGGGGCCTAGACTGACAGGCTGTTTTCACTTCTGTTTACCTTCCACCTAAAAGATAATACTGGTACTTCCAGCAGCCCAGCACTATACCAAAGTGTTGACTCAACAATGACTCAGAAGGAAGCAGGGCACCTAATCAGGTCATTGCAACATACTTCCTGCATAAAGTCAAGTCTCCCATCCAAGTCTCGGCTAAAAGTGGCACTGATTCCTTGTGGCATCCAACAGAAAGGCCATAGAAGATACAGATTGTAATATGCTATTTGGTCATTATTAAGATACCAAAGACACAATGCAGAAATCAATCCTACTATATACCAAAAAGCACGACAAATCATCAGTTAATATTGTAACTGCATCCTGCCTGAGCTCTCTTGCCTCAAGTTTGCAGTTTTTATATACTGTAAAGCAGGGGCGGGCGATTATTTTGGGTGGAGGGCCACTTACTGAGTTTTGGCAAGCCATCGAGGGCTGCATGACAGGCAGCCAGGGGAAAATAAATATTAATTTTCTAAATTTTTAAGGGGCACTGCGGGTCAGATTGAATGGCCCGGCGGGCCGCATCCCCGGCCCACAGGCCACATTTTGCCCACCCCTGCTGTAAAGGAAAATATATTTGGGGATTTTTCTGCTTTAGCGTTATTACAGTTTGAACTTCGACAGCAGTTTGGAATTTTAACTCTCTGACTTATTCACACAAGTAACAATGTTACTTCCCCTGGTTCCCTGTGAAATGACAACAGGGGCAGCTTGAGAGTAAGATTTTTGGCAACATTATATTCATTCTTAGGGAACCCATTCTAGTTCAAACCACTCAGCTTTATAAAATCACCTAATGGATGCAAGTACTGAGCACTGGAATTTGCAGGGGAAGTGTGCTGCACGGTGGCTCCTTTAATCTTGGAGTTTCCCTTGCATGCCCCACTACTACTCGCCACTTGTTCCTGAGGGCCAGGAAGCAAAAACTGTAGTTTTAAATAAGCCATGGTTATTGCCACCCATCTGGTCAGCAGCAGCAGTGGGGCTGCCAGGGCCCTCCACCAATCAGCAGAGAAAGGCAAAAAAAAGAAATCACCCACAATTGGCAGGGGGGTGAGTGAAAGGGCAGGGGGGGGGGGGCGGAAATGACGACAACACACATGCAAGGAAAACACCAGGATTAAAGGAGCTGCGCAGTATACTTCCAGCACAAATTCCAATGGTCCCTAAATACAAGTCCTCAGAATTACAGTAAGAAAACAAATTATTTTCTTCAATGACTTTTCAGATAAAAAAGCACCCACCACAACAGCAGCAAGTAAACAATGATCCTCCCTGTACCATAGCAAATTAAAAATAAATTTGCCAGATTGTCCTTTTCCACTTCTCAAGCCCTGGAGTACTGCATTCAGTTCTGGGCTCCACAACTCAAAAAGGATGTAGAAAACCTTGAGAGTCCAGAGGAGAGCCCCACACATGATCAGCAGGCAAGACAACAGGCTTTAGGAAGAGAGGCTGAGAGCTATGGGACTCTTCAGCCTGGAAAAGCATAGGCTCAGGGGTGACCTGGTGGCAGCCTATACGTATATAAGGGGTGTGCATCAGGATCTGGGGGAACACCTGTTCACCAGAGCGCCCCACGGGATGACAAACTCCTCCAATTTAAGGCTGGGCATAAGGAAAAACTTTACTGTCCAAGCCCCCAAAGCCTGGAATAGACTCTCTCCAGAGGTGGCGCAAGCACCTACTCTGGACTCTTAAGAAACGTCTGGATGCTTATCTTGCTGCGATCCTTTGACCCTAGCTGACTTCCTGCCCCTGGGGCAGGGGACTGGACTCAATGATCTTCTGAGGTTCCTTCCAGCCCTAACATCTATAAAATGTCTAAGAAATAACAAACAGTCGGATCTTCCTTTCCCAGTTGTGTCTGATCTGCAGAACCTCTCACTTCCAGGAAGTTATCAAGCCCAAGGATGTTAATTCATGTCCAAACAGATCTGGCATTCTACTGATGCTTTCTACACTAACTGTTCCACAAGTTCCTATACCATGATGGCTTCTCAGTCAGACTACTTGGAAATGTTGATCCCTGGGAATGTTAGGGCCAACCATTCTGCCTGAGTGGCAGCAACTATTCAACTTCAGATTGCTTTGTGTCAGTTGCAACTAATGGTCCATTTGCCTTTCAAACCCTCCTTTCAACAAGATTTTCAGAGTAAATTGAAGACAATGATTTCCTTGTGGAAAAAGAAACATTCTTTTGGAAAGTTCAGAAAACAGAATCAATTTTACATTATTCATGTAAACTTTACTAACAGATTTCATTCCTGTTACAGACAGCCCACTGACACTGACTGCAGTCCTGGGCAGTTCACTCTCATGCTTAATCTGCAGAGAAGCCTAGGATAAAATTCAGATATACAAACTTAGCCCCTTACATTAACTCCTTTTGGGCTATTTCCCTCCAGTCTTACATGTAAGGGAAAATAATGCAATAGGTAGCTTTAGTCATCCACCAAGGACCTGGAGAAGACACAGCACAAACTATGCCACTAAGTTTTCCACAACAGAAACAAGTAGGCCTAAAGGAAGTCACTTGCATATTCCCTTTCAATTTGGAAAATAGCTTCACATGGAAGATGACAGCAGGAGAAAGTGGCAGCACCTTTCCCACAAAAATGACACACTACGGTGAGAAACAGAAACACCAACATCTCTCTCTCCCTTCTTTGGCCTCCCAACTCTCCAAGAAGCACCACAGAGGGAAGTTCAATAACCTCACTCTGGCCTAACTGGGGGGGACACACACAGATTCTCAGAGCATTATCAACTCATCTTTGAAGGGCATGTCTTAATGTTCTCACTAGCAGATATCCTGAACATTTTGCAAATGTTCAGTGTTTCATTAAGTAATGTTTCTGACCAGAGCTGTCCAACTTCTAAGCAGCCAGGGGCCACATCACACAGGCTGCATGCCTACTGCACCCTGCATGAAGGTGCATCAGGCAGGTGGTGGCTCTGTCCCAGGTTGGGGGTTACCTCCTGCCTGGTCCTGCCAGTCATCTGATCGTTAGGACCAGGTATGAGAAGGGGACAGGATGTGGGGAAGCTAGGTGGCAGCACCAGCTAAGGTCTAACTCCCTTGGCCATGCCCAGTCCAGTATTCTGGCTACACCCTGTAAGGATCATCATCTTAAAGAGGTTTCACTGTATTACAATCTGGGGGCAATCCCATTAAGAGAGGGGCAGGCAACCTTTTCCAGCTCCAGGTCACAGTGCCCCACTCTGGGTAAGAGGTAGGCAGGCACTAGGACCCTGCTGCAGCTGGCACTCATCCCAGTCGCAGCATGGGAGAGCACCCACAGTTGAACACCACCCCCACCACCACTAAAGCCCCACATCTGGGCTGGATTCAAAGGATTCTGCAGGCCATAGGCTTGCTGACCCCTATACTGAGATGATCATACAAGGATAATTAGTTTATACCTGTATAAAGCCAGAGAGGACAAAACCCCCTAAGAAATGCAAGAAGTCCTAAATGAAGAGACCTATAAATGTATGTGGTCACCTCTGCAAGCCTTATACAAGTGAGCAACGTATAAAATCTTTTTTTCAAGTACCTACAACTAATTTTGCTTATTTGCGCCCTCTTCTGTCAAAACAAAGAGAATGGCATCATCTTTGGTTATGCCTTCAGAAAAGAATATTTGCCCTGGTATGGAAAACCTACTCTGCTACCAGCTATATGCAGTTGCAAATCATGACTGGGCAAGTATCCAGAGTGTAGCTTCAACATTAGGTAAATGACAAAGCCAAAATATGCAAGTATTTAAAATAAAAGGCTAGGTAGCAAATAGTGGTTTTCAGAAGAAATTAATAATAGTGGATTAAGAATTACATATTATAAAAGACTCTTCACCATTTATTTATAAATGGCTCATTAACTCCAGGGTCCTGATCAAACTCTAAAATTAATTAATTCAGATCTGCTGTCTTCAAGCAGTTTCAGTTTGTTAAAAGCATATACATACCTCACTTAAGTGTTCCTCCTGTTACATACCATTAAACAACTTCAAGCTACACTATGGTTGCCCATCTGTGATGGGCAAAGCAAACTTTGTACGGTGCTGGCGTATCAGCCTATAAAATGTTTTGACCACAAAGGTGCCCTAGAAATACAAGGCTATTCTCCAAAAAAGGAACTGTCAAACTTACAGTAACAAACATGCCGTCTTAGAACTGCCTAAGGAAAAAGAAGAAATGAGTGTAACGATCAAACAGACTATCAGAATCTTCACCAATTTTTCTCCTTTCAGGCATTCAAAATAAGACCTGTTCTCCTATGAAGGACTGGTGAATTTTCTGGAAAAAAAAATGGTGTTTTACTGAATGATACTAACTGACAAAGACAGAAATAGTTTGTGACAAAAGGCTTGCTTTGACAAATTCTGTAAAGAGTTCTGAAACATTAGAAGTGTCTTGTTTCAGTATTTCTAGTATGAAAAAAATATTTTTCAAGTTCAAGAAAAAAAAAAGTTTCAAAACACTTGCAGAATGAGAGGATCATTTCCTGCCCACCTCTGCTTTGATGTTTGTTCTATGGATCTATAACAGGGGTGGTCAAATATGGCCCGCATGCTGGATCCAGCCCACAAGGCCCCTAAAAATGTAGAAAATTAATATTTCTCTGCCCTTGGTACCTGTCAAAAATGACAGGAACCAAGGGCAGTAGGACCCAGGGGAAGCCCGGCGGGCTCCAACAACTGTGGGGCAGGCTGGCCCTGCCCCCTAGCAGGAAGCCCCTACCAGGGCTTCTGGCCTGGGAACACGTGGCTGCCCCACACTGGAACTTCAGGTAGGGGGGAGGAAGAGAGGAGAAGGGCAGGGGTACCCTGGGCAGGGAAGGAACGCAGGGTGAGGGGAAGCGGCCCCTTCCCTACCCTGTGGCCGGCACCCCATGGTGCAGCTACTCACAGCCCGCATGGGGCTGCCTGTGCCTGCTCCAGAGAGCCCTGTGCGGGCTACGAGAGGCTGCAGCAGGGAGCGCCAGCCATGGGGTGGGGCCACTTTTCCTCCCGCGCTCAGCTTTTCCCTGGGCTCCTTCCCTGTGCGGAGAAAAGCAGCTCCTCGCCTGCCCCATGGCCGGCGCTCCCTGCTGCAGGCGCTCGCAGCCCACCTTCCCCACCCTGCGCTCAGCACCAGCTTGTAACCTGGCCCTACCGCCAGGCTGGCAGTGGGGCCGGGTTACAAGCTGGTGCTGAGCGCCGGGGAGGGAGGGGTAGGCGAGGGGCCATTTTTCCCTGAGCTCAGCACCAGCTTCTTCCCTACTGGCAAGCAGGGGGCCGGGGCCCCTGCCAGCCTGTGCTCCACTTTAGGCCCCACCAGTGCTGGCCCTGGGACACTAGTCCCAAGACATTGGGACATTAGTCCCAAGATGGTGACCAGAAGGCGGGGCACCTGTCAAGGGGTGAGGCTACCCACGTGGCCCTCCACAGCCTGCCAAAACTGGTTAAGTGGCCCTCCGCCTGAAATAATTGCCTGCCCTGATCTATAAGGAAGATGCAACCAGTCAAATTGGACCCAGCACTTACCTTCAGCTTGTCCCGTCTTGGCAAGGAGCGATCCCAATTCCAGGATGCTCTGCTCTTTGACTTGCACTGCTTCCTCGTCATTTTCCTGGACATCACGCTTCACTAGAAGAAAGTGGAACAACTGCCTTTAACACCATTTCAGACCAGAGAGAATTCTCAACATACATTATTAAGTTGTTGCACTCCTTTCTGGAATCTAACAAATGTGACAGATAACAGTGGAATCAATACAGTCTCCGAGATGTGGAGAGCAGATTCTAAAATTTAGAATCTAAAATACTTATGCAACAGAAGTCTATAGAGTTGTTTCCTTATAAATAGTTCAATCCAGTTGATAGTTTTTGTGCCTGGCTGAATTTGAAGTTTTAATGCTTATTAGAAGTAGTGTCACTAGATACTTTCCAGCTGTTACAAGTATTGTTCCAAAGACAAACCCCTACTATTGCCTACAAGTGTTCTAACCAGCTACATAATTTGAAGCACAGAACCAGGCAAGATGGAACAGTTTAAGGGTTGATGTTAAGGGGCCCCATTACTGCTACTGCACATAGTGTTGCAATTATTTGGGTGAAGTTTAACTAAAGTAATGCTAAGCCAGCATGAACTCGAGAAATATAACCATGTTCAGCAGCATATCACACACTGGAAATATTAAGTGCTATCCATTACTTTAGGATGAAAACTCAGCACTTTCACTGTAAAAGTTTGATACACTTCTGAAAAATACTTTGTTTAGAAATTAGTACTTTAAAGTCACAGCTTTAAAGCATATAGGCATCAACTAGTACAGTACACAGTGTGTTAACTTTTAGCACACAACAGCATCAATAAGGCCATCTGAGAGATCTTAACTTCAAGGTCTAATACAGTAATAAAAGGGACATTTAAGTAACAAGCACACAGCAGTAACATGTTCAAAGCATGTCCCCCACCACAGATAGATCAACTGTCCATCTTGCTCTGTAGACATATTTGATACTGCCAAGTACTTGGGACAGCTCCCCAGATAGCTGTAGTTGCACTAAATATACTAGGTATTCTGTAACTGATGGAAATGAATGCCTCCAAAAAGTTCACAAAAGATCACCCCTCCTGTCTTATCCCCACACGCACACCGTCCCTGTTGGGACTCCTAAACTGAAGAGTTTTAAAGTATTTTTTCCAGACATAAACAGTTGCTCAAGAACTCTAGTGTATGCCTGCTTTGTTCGGCACACAGTACTACCAATGTTCACACTTCAAATTATCTTTTAAACTGACTGCGTTCACATTACCCAAGAGCTGACCCAAGTTGCGATGTATTTTAATACCAGAAAACAAAAATAAGTTCCCCAGCAGAAACATTTACCTTCAGGTTGATAAACACTATGGTATTTATGGCAACTACTACAAACCTCCCTAACCAACACAAAACCTGGATGTTAAATTGACAGACACCACTGAAACCTGGATGGACAGGCGACGTAAACCGATTCTCACCAGTTGGCAGTGGAAATGCTGCACGACAGCATGAAGCAACTTTTATAGACTTTTTGTCTAAGAAATTACAGCATTTTCAATTGCATGTGGCATTACCATTGCATGGGCTACACAGTAACATCCCCATTATAAAACAATACCTTGCTCTGTTTTCTACTAAGAAACTTCAAGCAGAGGCATGCAGCAAAGGAAGCCTCTCTCTCCCTTCTCAAGTTCAGGAGTAAATAAACACCGGACAAAGAGATCCTCTAGATCATTACTACTTCAGCAACTTTTTTGATTTCTCAACTCCATATCAGGCCAGCGCTCCAACACGAGGGTGGTTTCTAAGGCTGACTTCAAGCGATGCTTCTGACTCACTCACAAACGCACGCTTATATTTAGATGGCTCGGCATCTGATGCTGTCATTCTGCCTGCCCGCTCCCCAGATGTGACCAGGCCACCTCAGGCACCGTCCTCGCCACCCCGGCACAGAACAAACACCATGTATGTGCCACCGAGTCTAGCCTCAGAAACCAGCTTCCCATAAAGCAAACCCCTGTTGCAGCCGCTCCCTTTCGCCCCGGGGACACTGCATAAAACAGGCCCTGGGTTACTCTCGCCTGAGATGCTCCAAGGGGCTAGCGTAGCACCGGCACCAGAGTCACAGGAGCCCGCGCGAGGAGACACGAGTGACAAGAGCAGTCGCGAGCCCGTGTCCCTGTATTTGTGTGTGGGGGGCTGCGTGTCACTGCCCCGGGGCCTGTCCTGTGCCTAGGGGGCGGACGCTGATAGCAGGTGCCCGCCTGTCCCCTACGGAGAGGGTGAAAGCTGCCACAGGGACGCTGGGGGAGGGAGGGGGCTGACACACAGGGATGCCGCAGCCGCGGGACCCCGCTCCCGGGCCGGCCTGGGGGTGGGGGGAGGCTCCGCCTGCAGCCCGCGGCCCCTCGTGCCCCCGCAGCAGGCGGGCTCGGG